ATAATTAATATTAAAAACTTTTATTATCAACGTTTGTCAATATTTTGACATCAAATTTGAATATTATCTAAGGTTTTAATTTCAAACAAAAATATACAAAAGATTCTCTATTTTCACTCTTCTGTGTGAAAAACTCTTCTACACTTTGATTTCTCTCTTTGAGAATTGTTTAACACCAAAAATAGGGTTACAACCAGTTACAAACACAAACTACACTTAATGACATGAAAGAAAATAAAATCTGAACTTCCTATCTTCTTGATTTGCTGAGATAACAATAAATGTTTCAAACCCACTAGAGATTTGTTTGTTATGAATTTCGCGCAAAGCTACACAAGGGCTATCTGCACTAGCCGTCCCTAATTTAGTAGTGTAAGACTAGAGAGAAGGCAGCTAGTCATCACCACCCACCGCCAACTCTTGGGCTAAACTTTTACCAACAAGTAGTAGGATTGACCATCACATTATAATGCCCCAATGGCTGAAAGAGCAAGCATGTTTGATGTGACAGGGATTTGAACCCACGACCTACAGATTGCGAGTCGAGCACCCTAGCCACTGACTCAGTGAAGGCTTCATAAATTCAGACAAATCTTTAGTAAAAATTTTTATTAAAGGATCCGTTATTTTGTATACAACATTTGCAAACAAAAGTTTGCAAAATTTCATGAAGATACACTAAGTAAATTCAGAATTATACTGTGTATAGTTTAACATTTACAGGGTCAGCTGACCCACTTTGCACAAAATTAGGCAAGAAATCTTTGATACGGGTGAAAGTTTAGAAACAATTATTATTAATTTATTTACATTAGAGGTTGGAAGAAACTAGAAAAACATGTGCATGCTGATAAATCAATAAATGAAACAACTTAGAGCTGTATTAAGCAGTATTTAAGTAGCATGTTACAGACAGACAGACTTCTGAAGCTAGATATAGCAAGTCTTGATTAAAGAAGAGTTCTATTCATGTAGATAGGTTAATGATTTAATGGTGTTACATACTGTCAGACTGTTATTGGTTTACGAATAGTAATTTCTGACAGACATGGTTAAATGAGCAAGTTATTCAGCAATCACAATTTTTTGACCGAATAAAGAATATTAACTAGCTGCGACTTTGTTTATTAAAGCAATCTAAACCCTAAGTAACACTGATTACTTTTGTATCTTGTAATAAGTAAGCAATATATTAGGTTAAACCTACATTATTATTTAAACAATAGGCCACATTCATTAGTTGTTCACAAGGAGAACAAATGCATACCATGCCAGCAGAAGTAGGGATAACTAATATTTTGATTACTTGGATGACTGGAATAATCCAAAACAGTAATTATCAGAAAAAATAATTTTGATTATTATAATGAATCAAAAATAATAATAAGAAACCACAACGGCAATACTTCAATGACTTAGAATAACCAGAAACAGTAATACCTGGAAACACTAATGTTATTAGTTGATTACTTCTATTTATAAATTATATCAATTAACCACCAAATTCTATACACCAGTAAATAAAAAGTTTTAGCTACTTTCAAAATTAAAATCAAGGTACATTAAACCAATAAAAGAAAACTTAATATTCTTAGTACTATTAATTATTTAAGCAAAACTAAAATGTCTTTGGTTTTCAAAGCAAAAAAATCAGAAACCATGTAAACGTAACATTACCCAAAATTCACGGTGGAGAGCTTTAACATCCTTAAGACAGTTTCGAAGCTGTTTTTTGGTGATTCTGTTGCCTGCAGATAGAAGGTATTCTTCTACTGAGCTAGAGGAACACAGAAAATTTCAATATGTTTAAAATCTTATAATTAGATAAATGTCCTTCACACGTACATGAAAAATATTTTCATAGAACAGATTTTCAAGCTTTTAAAATTTAACATGTTGAATATTGAAATTCCCATATAAATAATTTTCTCTTAAGCACAAACTAATCAAGGTAACAAGCCTAATAAAATATTCAATTGTAACTTCCAGTCTCGAGATGGAAATACGAAGATCGTTTTTAAGTAACTATAACTACACACACACACATACATACAGACAGACATAAGTATTGCGAACATAAAATACAGCGCATATAAAATCCCAATGAATATTTACCATCTACATTTGTAACATCCGACATCATCAGAAATTTCAGTAAGTATACACTAATACCGTGAGTGATTGTGAAAGCTCTTTTGATTAAGTACGGGTTACTGTTCATCCAGTTTGCCATTATTATATTTTTTTTATATATTTTGAAGCTAGTTAAGACAAAACTAAAAGAAAGATATACACTATACACACACATACACACCACAAGTATCAGGAGACACAAGGTTTTTAACTAGGTATATGATGTATAAAGTACAATAAGACTAACCATTCCTTAGGAGTTGTTCCATAATTGATATTTTCCATAGAATGATTCAGATCAAGAGTTAATGATGCATTAGAGCCCCTCCTGAAAAATTGAGAAAACATTCAGACACAAATACTAGTAACAAATGTTCACAAAAAAAAACTACAAGCTTTGAAATAATAAATATAACGGTGGTGTGCAATCAGGTCATGCACTGCACAACCAGTCATAAAACTAAAAATGTGGCAGTAATGTTTGTACAATCAAATGATTCTTCTGTATTTATTATCATCATAAATGCCTAACTTTGCACTTCCAACAATACTCTATTTTCTGGAGTTACGTCATTACCACCTCTTAGTAAAATCCTGCAAGTCATGCTGCATTAAAATAACATGACAGCTCGTACATACACAGAAGTCCAATCTCAACAATGTACAGGTCACATGCTTTGCTTGATTTTGTGATTGTAAAGAAATATCACTGGCTGGATTTGACAAACAAATATGTTGAAGAGTAATCCTATTCTCTGTATGTTTTTTTTTCCCCCATTCTGGAGATATACTACATTGATAAGTTATTACTGTACAACCTACTCGAAAACCCACTGCACACCACTGAAATATAACATACTTAGTTTCTGGTCTGTTCATACTACAGACTGTTTAATAACAAGCTAATTTTGAATGAAAAATAATGGTGGATATGCAGCATAATTCTTTTAGAGAAATATACTGCTCAAATGATCATGGAATAATCTAATTTTCTATACTCTAGCCATAAGAATAGAACAAATACAATTCTCAAATAATATTAATGGCACATCTGAGTTCATTTTTAAGGTGGCCAGTCATGTGATCTGATATACATGAGACTACTATTGCAGTCTAATAAATCATCATTTTTAAGGTGGCCAGTCATGTGATCTAAATATACATGAAACAACTATTGCAGTCTAATAAATCATCCTTTTTAAGGTGGCCAGTCATGTGATCTGATATACATGAGACTACTATTGCAGTCTAATAAATCATCATTTTTAAGGTGGCCAGTCATGTGATCTGATATACATGAGACTACTATTGCAGTCTAATAAATCATCATTTTTAAGGTGGCCAGTCATGTGATCTGATTTACATGAAACTACTATTGCAGTCTAATAAATCATCATTTTTAAGGTGGCCAGTCATGTGATCTGATATACATGAGACTACTTTTGCAGTCTAATAAATCATCAGAAAATGTTTGTTAATTAAGGTGTAATGCAAATTGTATATCAATGCAACATGCTCAAATTAGGTAACTCACTGATCCTATTAGTCATTTCCAGTTCATCAACATTGAAATATATGTTATCCTATCAAAGTCCAGTTGGATTCAAATGTAGCACGTATTCTAGCCAGTTCATACTCTCTCTCTCCATACCCTCTTCTAAGAAGTTATTATTCAGTTGACCATCACTGGGACAAATGTTATCAACCTTTGGGTATCTGTACCTGCATACAGAAATGCTAATTGTTGCAAGTCTCCAGCTCTATACCATAAGATATTCATAGTACCATTTTGTAACATAAAGTTCAATACAGACACCAATACTAATTCCAATCGAGAGAAGTATGCTATCATCACCACGTGCATGTCACTAAATGTGTACACGTCTCATATCTATGAACAAAACAGTTGCCCACATGTTATTTGACCAATCCATGTATTCTTAACACCAACAAAGATGGGCTGTTCTCTGGCAGTGAATTAGAGTAACACACAACATTGGTCATCTAGCATAAAAGATACTATGCTTCAGTAGCCCAACTTTTTTTTTCTCACTCTGTTGGTTGTCCAAAAATAATTCATGCAACTTTTAAGTATGTAATTCAGAACAAAACGTATACAAGGCAGTACAATACAATATTCTAAAAAATAATATAATTTATATGGCTTTCTAAGTTATAAATAGTCTAAAAAAGATTCCATTACTGCTCAGAGCAATGACTTTACTCAATGCGCATCTAGCATTTTGTTTTTTGCAATCTACTGTCTTTGACTACTAAAACTAAATACATGAACATAAGGCTCTTATACACTACAATGTGCTCTTTCCATCGTTTAAATATTCTCATCAAGCAAGTAGGCACGAGTGAATAAATGGCATGAAATCAAATGAAATAAGATTGGCTTCTCTGGTGGGTTTGCAAGTTTATTGATACTTCAGCAAATTGAAAAGATAGGAGCTTCTAATTTTTTATTTTCCTTGACAGTCTGTGTAGTTTGTATTTCCGATTGATTATGCACTGCAGAAACTGTTTGATGAAGTTATAAAATCTAAAGGGAAGAATTCAGAGGAAGATATGTCATGCGACATAGAAGAGTGAACACTGAGAATTTAAAATATTTCCTTTTGAAACTAATTGTTTGTTTGTTTTGAATTTTGCGCAAAGCTACACAAGGGCTATCTGCACTAGCCGTCTCTAATTTGGCAGTGTAAGACTAGAGGGAAGGTAGCTAGTCTTCACCACCCACCGCCAACTCTTGGGCTACCCTTTTACCAACGAATAGTGGGATTGACCATCACATTATAATGCCCCCATGGCTGAAAGGTCGAGCATGTTTGGTGGGACGGGGATGCGAACCCGCGACCCGCAGATTGCAAAGTCGAGCGTCCTAACCACCTGGCCATACCAGGCCCTTTTTGAAACTAAAACTTATATAATATTCAAATCAGAAGAGTGAACACTGAGAACTTAAAATATTTCCTTTTGAAACTAAAACTAAGATAATATTAGAATTTGAATTATAAACTATCTTTTGGTGACAAGTATATCAACCTACATTAATAATAAAGTTCTTGGATTGTATTTTAGAAGTAACTCTAAAAAAATAGGTCACAATTTGCCCACTTTGAATCACTGGAATGCACAGGGTTAATTCTGTTGCTAAACTGTTAATCCAGTTTGGAAGCTACAGTAACTGTCATGCCTATGTTGTCAGATAGTTATCATGCAGGTTTGTTAAAAGTGGTCTACCCTCTGTAGGTCTCCAGCTAACTATATTGTTGGTCTGAAACTTAATCCACATTCTGCAATGCGATGTGTTTGACCAGCTTCTAGCCAATCTGATGTTCTCTACATCATATCAATCAATTTATTTACAGACTTTGCTCTTATTGAACTCTAACTCAAAACACATTGATTCCTTCATTTTTATATATATCACTGAAAGCTGCATATCTGATCACATGTCTTGTCCACAAAATGTTTTGAATAGAAATTAACTCGCAGGTAACACAGATAGTATTTGACCCTCACATTACTAATTTTTTTATAGTTTTTTCATACTGTTCACTTTGTAATGTCATTGTGAAATTTATAACAGCAGCTGTACATTGTCACAGCTAGAATATAAAAGGATCTGATTATCCATTAATCATTTTGACCAGTGCAATACTAAAAAAGATTACTTGTACATGATATTTAGATTCTATAAACGTTTACCAGCCAACAAGCAAAAACAAACTGTTGTTAATATTTCACAGACTTGTAATGATACAATAATTTTCTCATGGAATACATTTTTTTTATGAGACCTTGCTGCTAAGATGTGTCCCGTAAAAGTGGCCATGGTTTTGAATTATTTGAGACAATACCAATAAAATCAGTTTGTTGAAACCTGTTGTAGGTTAATTCTGAGGTGTGAAGATAGGTGAAGCCAGCTACAAGAACAAACTTGAACCACTGAATTAAAAGAAAATGTACCGAAAATTAATTTTAATCATTATTCAATACATCTTTTTAAAATAAATACTTCAGAACTGAAGTTCATTGAACAAATAAATTTTATTTAATCAATTTTATATATAAAAATTGAAAGATTTAGATCCTGTGTTGATTTCAGCATGCTTGAATCATTAGTGTTTGTGAATTTCTTAAATTGTTTCTGAGCAAAATACAACACTCAGCAAATGCGAGAAAATTAAAAGTTAAAGTTATGTTACAATCTGCAGTCATTCTAGAAAAAGAAAAATATTTTTGATTTTATTTCATCTTTTTCAACTTTTCATTCCACTGCATGTTGATGATTTTGCTTCAGTTAATGTTAGGGGTAGAGAAAAGTAGAGATAAAATATAGTTTTACAAAAAACTGTTGACAGTTAATTTAGGCAGTTCTAAAGGTTATGTAAATTAAATATGAAACTGCAACATCAAAAGAAATATTCTGATTCTTGGCTTTCACTTGGACTGACTCAGTAAATGCTTTCAGAGATCCACAGACCAATCTTTAATAGAAATAAGTTATTAAAAACAATTTTTTTGTGTACAACAAACTCGTAATGTTAACTAAAAGCTTCTTATGTGTATTAAGAATTATAGTAAACATTACTATATATAGCTTCATAGATATGAAGTCAGTCTAATGGACCAATGCCATGCATGCATGGTTAAGTCTAAAAATAAAAAGTAGGTTTTTGCAATATCTTATATTATACCAGAAATAAATTAAGTATTTGTTTTAGGGACTTTACACATGATGTATGTTAAGCACTATGACTCACATGAATGAGAAGACGAGAAAAAAAAAACAATTACATAAAATATAGCAAAGAAACACTTGAAGCGCACACCTTTCCAGTAAACCTTTGGCCTTAATCCTTAGAGGACTTCGACGTGGACTTGATGTGCATTCCGATTCAGTTTCAGTTAAATAGCTATCCCTACTTTCTGGCTGAATTGTATCCGCTTCACTTACACTTGGCTTCAATATTGGCTGATAAACTACTTCTCTTGCTTCTTCTATATCAAGTCTCTTCTTTGTGTCTCGTCGATAAAAGAAAAAAGCTAGCAAGATATGTGGTAAATTAATATATTAAAGAACGATAAATATACATACAGGTATATACTATCTATCTTAACACACACACCACGTTTACAAGATGTTCAGAGGGCTTTCAAAACTAATTACTATATAACTGAATTTGTCCAAACCAACTATAAACATTTTTAACATGCTCAATAAATTATGCTGCGTGACAAGTCGTTGAAGGATGAAGAGTAGCTTTTAATAAAGTTGTGAAAGCAGTTCCTACCAAAATAAAAAATTAATCTGGAACTCACACTTTTTTTATTTTACTGACGTGTATGTATATACATTTTTAATTTTCCTAAAATATGTAACTTAAACATTTTCATGACTGAAAAATTAGAATCCCCCCCCCCATCTTTTTTTATCCATCTACTT